CAAAGGTATCTTTCCACATATATAACATCTCAGGACCCTTCCACATCCACCTTTTCAAAGCAGATAATCCACATTATCAGTTTTAAATTGGACTTTAATCCAGTTCAAAGCAGACAATCTGAGTTTTATATGGTAATGTAGAAGGGGCCTCAGACTTTCAACACTTTCAACTTCAGAGAAGACTATGATTGCACTCTGGACTTCCATGTCAGGGCCTTTCCACACAGCCCTATATCCCAGCATATCAAGGCAGAAAATCCCACAATATCTGCTTTGAACTGGGTTATCTGAGTCCACACTCAAGATAATACGGAATTTTCTGCCCTGATATTCTGGGATATAGGGCTGTGTGGAAGGGCCTTCAATTTGGCATTGGCAAATCGACACACGGCCGAGGATATTTGTATTTTTTATATTAATTTATTTGATATTCCATTTTCCCCCTCAGTACTAGAATAAAGTTAAAACAAAGAACAAACTGAACAAACTATTAATAGAAACATAAAAAATAAATGTGTTGAGGAATAATTTCCGTTTCAAAAACACAAGTTAAAAATCTTTTAAAAAACAGATTCAAACATAATAAGGAGACACACACACATACATCACTCACAGCACGGAAAGCTCCATCTGCAGCAACAAGTAAAAAAACAAAACAAAACAAAAGGCCTGCTTAAATAAAATAATAGTAAAAAAATATTGGAAAAACAAAGAGAAATCTGCCTGTAGACAGATTTGGGAACAATGACAGAGAAGGCTTTCACACCTGGTTTCCCAGACCATGATGATTTATTATATATTTATTATATATTTATTATTATTTACTAGCTGTCCCCTGCCATGCGTTGCTGTGGCCCAGTCTGTGTATATGTGTTTTGTGTGTGTACGTGAGTGTGTATATGTGTGTTGTGCATTTGCATATGTGTGTGTGTGGGGGGGGGGGTTGTGTGTGCATACATTGTAATATAATTTTTGTTTTTTGGCTTTTAAGTCTCTTCTGTTGTGTTTTTCAGTGTTATTATGAGTGATGGTCACTCGTTGGCCTGATAGGTGCCTTGTGTCCAAATTTGGTGTCAATTCATCCAGTGGTTTTTGAGTTATGTTAATCCCACAAACAAACATTACATTTTTATTTATATAGACTAGCCGTCCCCTGCCACGCGTTGCTGTGGCCCACATGGGGGTTTTGTGTGGGAGGTTTGGCCCAATTCTATTGCTGGTGGGGTTCAGAATTCTCTGTGATTGTAGGTGAACTATAAATCCCGGCAACTACAACTCCCAAATGTCAAGATTCTATTTTCCCCAAACTCCACCAGTGTTCACATTTGGGCATATTGAGTATTTGTGTAGAGTTTGGTCCAGATCCATCATTGTTTGAGTCCACAGTGCTCTCTGGATGGAGGTGAACTACAAATCCAAAACCAAAGGACACGGCCCACCAAACCCTTCCAGTATTTTCTGTTGGTCATGGGAGAACTGTGTGCCAAGTTTGGTTCAATTCCATAATTGGTGGGGTTCAGAATGCTCTTTGATTGTAGGTGAACTATAAATCCCAGAAACTACAACTCCCAAATGACAAAATCATTTTTTTTAGTTGAGAACATACATTGGGTTGTTAGGTGTATCATGTCCAAATTTGGTGCCAATTGCCCCAGTGGTTTTTGAGTTCTGTGAATACTACAAACGAATATTACATTTTTATTTATATAGATTGTATTTCTCGACCAGCCTTTTCATCCAGTGACCTCAAGGCAGTGTAAGTCAGTTCTCCTTCTAGTACCTGACACAGGGGATTGGCAATGGTAACAATGTGGGGCAAAGATCTGTCCGCACTAGCAGTAACTGGGTGCATCTTAACTGCAGAATGAATGATTTTTACCCCACTTTAACTGCCACAGCTCAATGTTATGGAATCCTGAGAGTTGTTGTTTAGAGGGACACTAGGGCCCCTTCTACACTGTCATATAAAATCCAAATTAATTGATTTGAAGTGGATTACATGGTAGTGTAGACTCATATAATCCAGCTCTAAATCAATAATGTGGACTATCTGATTTAATAATCCGGTTTATATGGCAGTATAGAAAGGGCCTAGTACTCTTTGGAAGAGAAGGCTAAAGACTCCCATGATTCCATAGTATTGAGTTGTGGAAGTTAAAATGGTATCAAACCACATTCATTCTGCAGTGTGGATACATTCCTCCTTGGGATTAAAATATGTACCGTAGGAAGTGCCAAAGAGCCAATTCCTCCCAAGTCGGGGTCCAGAATTGCTTGTCACCACCCCCATTGATCTTTTAACTAACTAAATGAATTTCAACAGGGAGAAATGTATAGTTTGACGCTTGGGCAATAAAAATGAAATGGACAGCTCATATAGGATGTGTGGCACCTGGCTTGAATACAGTACACGTGAAAGGAATATAGGAGCCTTCTACACTTTGTATTAGTCTACACTGCCATATAATCCAGTACAAAGCAGATAATGTGGACTTTTTAGGAAAGTGTAGGTGCCTGCCATAGATGTAGGCAAAACGTCAGGAGAGACTGCTTCTAGAACATGGCCATACAGCCCGAAAAACCTACAACAACCCAGTGATCCCAGCCATGAAAGCCTTCAACAAAACAAAGGAGATTCTACTTGAACATTTGGAATAACTTCCTGTGAGAGAGCTGTTCAGCAGTGGAACTCTCTGTCTCAGGGTTTAATAGTCTTGACGTCCTGGAGGCTTTTAAAGAGGCTGCTGGGAGTGGTTTGATTGTGGAAGAACACGGTTGGACTGGGTGGCCTTTGGGGCCTCTCCTTTTTGTTTGGTCGTGTCAGGAGTGACTGCAAGTTGCTCCTGGTATGAGAGAATTGGCTGTCTGCAGGGACGTTGCCCAGGGGACGCCTGGATGATTTGATGTTTTTATCATCTTTGTGGGAGGCTTCTCTCATGTCCCTGCATGAGGAGCTGATAGAGGGAGCTCATCCGCCTCTCCCCGGATTCGAACCTGCGACCTGTCGGTCTTCAGTCCTGTCGGCACAGGGGCCTCTCCTGACTCTATAGGAGTCCATTATTTCCAAGCACAACACACACACTCTGGCTGCAAATGACTGAAGAATTCTACTTGAACATTAGGAAGAACTTCCTGTGTGAGAGCTGTTCAGCAGTGGAACTCTCTGCCTCAGGGCATAATAGTCTCCAAGTCCTGGAGGCTTTTAAAGAGGCTGGATGATCATCTGCTGGGAGTGCTTTGATTGTAGAAGAACAGGGTTGGAGTGGGTGGCGTTTGAGACCACTCCTGACTCTTTGGAGTCCAAGTACAACACACACACTCTTGCTGCAAATGACTGAAGAATTCTTCTTGAACATTAGGAAGAACTTCCTGTGAGTGAGCTGTTCAGCAGTGGAACTTTCTGCCTCAGGGTGTAATGGAGTCTCCAAGTCCTGGAGGCTTTTAAAGAGCATGGAAGGCCATCTGCCAGGGGTGCTTTGGTTGTGGAAGAACAGGGTTGGATGGGGTGGCCTTTGGGACCACTCCCGACTCTATAGGAGTCCAGGATTTCCAAGCACAACACACACACACACTGGCTGCAAATGACTGAAGAATTCTTCTTGATCATTAGAAAGAACTTCCTGTGTAAGAGCTGTTCAGCAGGGGAACTATCTACCTCAGGGTGTAATGGAGTCTCCAAGTCCTGGAGACTTTTAAAGAGGATGGATGGCCATCTGCCGGGAGTGCTTTGATTGTGGAATAACAGGGTTGGACTGGGTGGCCTTTGGGTTCAGGATTTCCAAGGGCAACACACACACACATACGAGCTACTACTGCTGTCTTTGGCTCCAAATGACCAAAGGATTCTATTTGAACATTAGGAAGAACTTCCTGTGAGAGAGCTTTTCAGCAGTGGAACTCTCTGCCTCAGGGTGTAATGGAGTGTCCAAGTCCTGGAGGCTTTTAAAGAAGCTGGATGGCCATCTGCCGGGAGTGCTTTGATTGTGGAAGAACGGGGTTGGACAGGGTGGCCTTTGGGGCCTCTCCCAAGGAGTCCAGGATTTCCAAGCACAACACACACACGAGCTGCTGCTGCTGCCTCTGGCTGCACATGACCGAAGGCGAGGTGGGTGAGTGTACGCCTGGGAGGACGGAAAGGGAGACTTTCCCTTTGGGGGGAAGGCTGCAAACTTAGGCCGGGAGAGAGAGGAAAGGAAAGGGGTTCCTGGTTCCCTTGGGCAGCCAACTCTTTGTCCTTGACCAGCAAAGCGGGGGAAGGTAAAAAAAAAAAAAAGAGAGAGAGTGAGAAAGAGCAGAGCGCGTGCGCGCGCACTAAAGCCGACAAAGCAGCAGCACCAGCGGGGGCGCGCGCTCCAGCCTGGGAGAGCGCGCGCGCCGTCCTTTTCCCTTTTCTCTCTCTCTCTCCCTGCGTTTGGAACTTTGCTGACTGCAACGTTCTGAATCCGAAAGTAGGGGGCGGAGGCGAGAGAACGTTCGATTTGCCCCCCCCTCCCTCCTCCCTTTGGAGGAGAAAGAGAGAGAGAGGAAAAAAAGGGGAGCGCTCCGCAGCGCCACCGTCCGGCCATCGCGTGTATTGCACCTCCCCTTTTTTTCTCTCTCTCCCTTTCTCCCTCTCCTTCTCTCTCTCTCTCCCACCCCCCTTCTCTCCGGCTCTCAATGATCCACACTGCCCGGCCACAGAGCCGCCTCCTCCTCCTCCTCCTCCGCCGCCCGATTGCCCCCCTCCCAAGCTGCTGCTGCTGCTGCCTCTCCTGCTTCTCCTCCTCCTCCTCCTCGTAGCCCCTTCCCAGCCCCCAAGGACACAACGCTCTCCCTTCCCTTCCCTTCCCTCCCCCCTTCCCTCCCTCCCCTCCTCCTCCTCCGAGTGAACGTCGGGACAGGACGGCTGCCAAGGTAAAAAAAGGAGACACGGGTTAGGACAAGCAGAGAAAGGGGGGAGGGAAGGAAGGGAGGAGGGGAGGGAGGAGGGGAAGGGGGGTGGTCGTGGAAAAGAGAGCTTTGTTCTGGCTGCCTGGCCCCACTCGAGTTCACGCCTCACTTGGTGGCACACACACACACACAACACACGCGCGGAGTGGACGGATCCGGGTGGGAGAAGCTTCCTTCCTGCCATTACAGCACAGAGAGAGAGAGAGGAGGAAGAAGAGGAAGAAGAAGAGGAGGAGGAGGAGGAAGAAGAGGAGGAGGAGGACGACTCTGTGTTGAAGGCAACACACACACACACACACACAGAGGAGGGCAAAGCTGCCCCTGCTGCAATTCCTGATCAGGATCTACCTCCTCTTCCTCCTCTTCCTTCTCCCTCTTTCTCTTTTTTGGGAATGATCTAATCCCAATATTTCAACCCCCCTCTCTTGCATGTGATCCTTCCTGGAGGAATCCCCATTTATTTATTTTTTAGGGGGCAAAAAGATGTCTGTCTGTTTTGTAGAAACTGATCCAGAGTCGGTGGTGGCGTTGAAAGCTTTCCAGAAGGTGCTTCTTCTTCTTTTCCTTCTTTCCTTTCTCCCATCGCCAAACCTTCTCTCCAGTTGGGCCCATTCTTCTTCCCCTTCCTTCCTTCCTTCCTTCCTTCCCCAAACCTTCTCTGCAGTTGGGCCCAAACATTAGGGTGAAAATTGAGAGGCAGTGGGTTTGTTGGGATCTGTGTCCCCCCCCCCCCTTTTGTATATATGTTCTCATTACTATAAATATAAGTGTGTTGTTGGGGCCAGGGGAGCAAAGAGGAAGGGGCTCTTGACCTAGTGGCTCCAAGGTAAATATTATTCAGGGCCTATTTTGGGGTCAGTCTCGGTTGTTTATAATCCAGTTGCCCTAAGTTGTTGTGAGTTTTTCTGTGCTGGATGGCCATGTTCCAGAAACATTCTCTCCTGACATTTCGCCCACCTCTGTGGCAGGCATCCTCGGAGGTTGTGAGGTCTGTTCGAAACTGCAGGGTGACAGAAAGATATATGAGTTTTCCAGGCTGTCTGGGTATGTTCCAGAAGCATTCTCTCCTGACATTTTGCCCACCTCTATGGCAGGCATCCTCAGAGGCGAAATCTGTTGGAAACTAAGAAAATTGGGTTTATATATCTGTGGAATAATGTCCAAGGTGGGAAAAAGAACCCTTGTCTGCTTGAGGCAAGTGTAAATGTTTTGTGAATGTTGTTCTTTATTTACTGTCCTGATTTTAGAGTTTTTTAAATACTGGTAGCCAGATTTTGTTCCCCAGGCAGGAAGCAGCCAGGCTTGGAAGCTGCAAGGCCATTCGAAGCTAATCAAGGTGGCCAATGGTAAAGAATGTTGTTCTTTATTTACTGTCCTGATTTTAGAGTTTTTAAAATACTGGTAGCCAGATTTTGTTCCCCAGGTAGGAAGCACCCAGTCTTGGAAGTTGCAAGGCCATTCGAAGCTAATCAAGCTGACCAATGGCAACATTCACACTTGCCTCAATGTAAATGTTTTCTGAGTGTTCTTCTTTATTTAGTGTCCTGATTTTAGAGTTTTTAAAATACCGGTAGCCAGATATTGTTCCCCAGGCAGGAAGCAGCCAGGCTTTGAAGCTGCAAGACCATTAAAAGCTAATCAAAGGGCCAATGGCAACATTCACACTTGTCTCAAGCAGACAATAACAACAACAACAACAACAACACATTATTTGCCGATACATCACACAGTCCTAGACACTTGTGATCCAATGCAACAGCCAGCAGAGTGATCTTATCTGCTGTAGACTCCTTGTTGTGCTTCAAATAATAATAATAACTTTATTTGTATACCCTGCCATCTCCCCAAGGGGACTCAGGGTGGCTAAGACTTCTTTCTCCCACCCTGGACCTTCCACAGATATATAAACCTCACTTGCCTAGTTTCTAACAGACTTCACAACCTCCGAGGATGCCTGCCATAGATTTGGGCAAAACGTCAGGAGAGAATGCTTCCGGAACATGGCCATACAGCCTGGCAAACTCACAGCGACCCGGTGCTTCCAGTCATGAAAGCCTGGCCTTATGTAAGCCGCCCCGAGTCCCCTTGGGGACATGGTGGCGGGGTATAAATAAATTATTATTATTATTATTATTATTATTATTATTATTAAAAGGATGGGATTCCTGGGGGTTTTGCACTTTACGGTTGCACTAATTTGATAGCTTTTTGCCCTAAGTTATTCTCTGCTAAATTCATCTTCCAAAAAAGTGGGCAATTGTCATCCATCTGAAGAACTGTGGTGTGGACAGATGAGTGTGTGAAACCAAACTGAGGATGTATATTTTAAAATGTCATGGTTTTTCTTTGCTTCAGGAAAAAAAACCCCAATTGTTCTGGATGTCCGTCTTTGGTCACATTTTTAAAAATATGGTTTACATCTTGTGTTCTAAGGATACCAAATAATCCTGAAGTTCTGAGGAAGTTGGAAATGTCCTTTAGTGAGTCATCTTTCTGTTTTTCACTCCTTCCAAAAGTTTCCCAAGATGTCCAGCGACAGGCAAAGGTCCGATGACGAAAGTCCCAGTACCAGCAGTGGCAGTTCGGACGCAGATCAGCGGGACCCGCCGGCCCCCGAGCCGGAGGAGCAAGAAGAGAGGAAACCGTCAGCCACCCAGCAGAAGAAGAACACCAAACTCTCCAGCAAAACTACTGCTAAGCTATCGACTAGTGCTAAAAGGTAAGTTGTGTGTATATGAAGAGTGGTGATGATGTAAGTTGTCTCCACTACTGGAAGGAGTCACTATACTTGGAGATCTGATTAAGTCTTGGGAAGGTGGAGATCCCGTAGTACAGTGGCCTTCAACTCCCAGATTTCTGGGAGTTGTAGGCCAAAACATCTGGGGACCCACAGTTTGAGAACCATTGCAGTGGATTGCATAGTAAACCTGTCCAACAGATGTGGGTCCCATCAGAGAGAGAATCACGTCAGAACCAATTCAGGTTTAACCAACTAGGCCTGGGCCAACTTGGGCCCTTCTTCAGGTGTTTCGGACTTCAACTCCCACAATTCCTAACAGCCTCAGGCCACTTCCTTTTCCCCCTCAGCCACCTAAGAGTGTTAGAATGTTGAGGCTGACCAATCAGAAACAATATGCAAATTATCAGGTTGAGATAGCTCATGCATGGGCCAACTTGGGCCCTTCTTCAGGTGTTTTGGACTTCAACTCCCACAATTCCTAGCAGCCTCAGGCCCTTTCCTTAAGCGGCTGAGGGGGAAAAGGAAGGGGCCTGAGGCTGCTAGGAATTGTGGGAGTTGAAGTCCAAAACACCTGAAGAAAGCCCCAAGTTTGAAGTAGATCCATTCTTTGGCTATTTTCACTTGTCTTCTGTTGGATGGCTGTCTGCTTCGGAGAAGCCTGGCTTTTGAGGCTGCTCTCATTCTTTTGAGAGACATTTCAGTGCATGACAACTTCTGGAGTGTTTCTTGTGCGGTTGAGGAGCAATCTTTCATGGGTGCTTTCCCTGTATGATCAATACTGGTGCAAAAGCATTTAAAGTTTTCTGGAAGTTTGCCTTTTAAGGAGCTTGCGCCCCTGTCAGTTTTCTTTAATAGCCTTTGATCTCGTGGGCAAAAACCTGACATGCCTTCATTGGAGATACGTTTTAGGGAATATTTTCCCTGAATGGGTTGTCAAAGACATCTATGGCAGGCATCCTCAGAGGTTGTGCCTTAGTTGGAAACTAGGCAAGTAGAGTTTATATATCTGTGGAATAACGTCCAGGGTGGGAGAAAGAACTCCTGTCTGCTTGAGGCAAGTGTGAATGTTGCCATTAGCCACCTTGATTAGCATTGAATGGCCCTGCAGCTTCAAAACCTGGCTGCTTCCTGCCTCGGGGAATCCTTTGTTGGGAGGTGTTAGCTGGTCCTGCTTGATTCTGATAGATTCTGATTCTGGCCCTGATTGACATCAGTGAAATGCCCAGAGTGGGAGAAAGAACTCCTGTCTGCTTGAGGCAAGTGTGAATGTTGCCATTGGCCACCTTGATTAGCATTTAATGGCCTTGCAGCTTCAAAGCCCCTGGGGGAATCCTTTGTTGGGAGGTGTTAACTGGCCCTGCTTGATTCTGATGGATTCTGATTCTGGCCCTGACTGACATCATTGGAATGCCCAGAATGGGAGAAAGAACTCTTGTCTGCTTGAGGCAAGTGTGAATGTTGCCATTGGCCATCTTGATTAGCATTGGATGACCTTGCAGCTTCAAAGCCTGGCTGCTTACTGTCTGGGGGAATCCTTTGTTGGGAGGTGTTAGCTGGCTCTGCTTGATTCTGATGGATTCGAACTCTGGCCCTGATTGACGTCGGTGGAATGTCCAGGGTGAGAGAAAGAACTCTTGTCTGCATGAGGAAAGTGTGAATGTTGCCTTTGGGCACCTTGATTAGCATTAAATGGTTCAGCTTCAAAACCTGGCCGCTTCCTGCCTAGGGGAATCCTTTGTTGGGAGGTGTTAGCTGGCCCTGATTGATTCTGATGAATTTTGATTCTGGCCCTGATTGATTCTGATGGATATTGATTCTGGCCCTGATTGACATCAGTGGAATGTCCAGGGTGAGAGAAAGAACTCTTGTCTGCTTGAGACAAGTGTGAATGTTGCCATTAGCCACCCTGCTTAGCATTGAATGGCCTTTCAGCTACAAAACTTGGCTGCTTCCTGGCTGGGGGAATCTTTTGTTGGGAGGTGATTAGCTGGCCAACGTTCACACTTGCCTTGAGCAGACAATAGTTCTTTCTTCCACCCTGGACATTATTCCACAGATATATAAATCCCACTTGCGTAGTTTCCAACAGACCTCACAGGCTCTGTGGATGCCTGCCATAGATGTGGGCGAAACATCAGGAGAGAATGCTTCTGGAACATGTCCATACAGCCCAGAAAACTCACAGAAACCCATTTCCCCTGAAGTTTACTCAATCTAACAATCTAGCTAGGAGCACATCTGCTCAATAAAATCAAAGATGTTTTTAGGTGTAATATGGCTTTATTTGAACCTGTGATACTTTTAACTGGACTCTAAAGTGAAATGGAGGAGAGAAAAAAGGACTGGAAGTCCCATTAGGAGTGTGGAAATTACATTTTTTAGATATAATCTTTACATGCCTGTTATCTTTTGCTACTTCTAAACTGAAAATAATAAACTGAAGAGAAACAGGAAACGAAAGTGTTCATAGTAGTTTTGTTTTTAATTTAGGAAGAATTGATAGGGAGTGAAACGTGTGTGTTGATGCAGCCTTTAAGGACGTCAATCGCCCACTTTTTTATTAGCTGCTTTCAAAGTATCTCTCCACTGTGCTTGTTGCCAATACATAGGTCCAGCGAATTTCCCTCCTAATATCTTGTTTCATCTTGTAAAATCGTAGCCTCGTGTGTGATGTCTTGTGTAAATTCTTGTAGAGTGAAAATCCAGAGGATCTGAATTACATCTAGGCCGTTTGTCATTGTCATAGATCTTCTGTGGGCAAAACATAAATTGCCTGGAGTGTGTAAAATGAGCAGCCCCAAAGAATATTTTGTTCTTGGAGGAAAATGGCAAGAGCTTCCTTCGCCTAATAACCTCTATTAAACTGTGATAAAACTGTTGAAACGTTTTCTCTTTGGAGCCTAACAGCTCTATAACTATTGTCCAGAGACACCATCTGGGCTGGAACCAACACCAGTATTTATTTTATTATACGAAGTCTGCAATTTCTTTTAAACTTCCCAACATTTAATAGGAAAGGAAAGAACAGAAGGGAAAAAGTGAATTTTTTTGGCTGTATGGCCATGTTCCAGAAGCATTCTCTCCTGACATTTTGCCCACATCTATGGCGAAATGTGATATTTGTCTTTCCTTTTCTAATGCAGCACAAATCCTATGTTAAATCATACTACGTATTTTTGACATTAATATTGAAATCTGAAATATATACAGAAAGTCTAAAAAAAAGTAGTAAACTGTTCCTGGGCAAGTGGGGGATGGGGATGTGGTGGTGGTGGTGGTGGGATTGGGGAAAAATACTGGTATTTTGACTGCTGAATTTTGAAGATTGTATGTTTCTTTGTATGATATAATAAAAAAAATTGAAAAACCCACTAAAAATGGGAATTCCAGACAAGAATCAATCAGAGCCAGCTAACACCTCCCAACAAAGGATCCCCCAGGCAGCAATCAGCCAGGCTTTGAAGCTGCAAGGCCATTCAATGCTAATCAAGGTGGCCAGTTGCAACATTCAGGCAAGAGTTCTTTCCCCCCACTCTGGACATTTCAGAGATATATAAACCTCACTTGCATAGTTTCCAACAGACTTCTGAGGATGCCTGCCATAGGTGCAGGCAAAATGTCAGGAGAGAATGCTTCTGGGACATGGCCATTCAGCCTGAAAAATTCACACCAACCCAGATTTTTTTTGGTTGTGACAGGAGCGACTTGAGAAACTGCAAGTCACTTCTGATGTGAGAGAATTGGCCGTCTGCAAGGACGTTGTCCAGGGGACGCCCTGATGTTTTTGATGTTTTACCATCCTTGTGGGAGGCTTCTCTCATATCCCCACATGGAAAGCTGGAGCTGACAGAGGGAGCTCACCCGCACTGTCCCCGGATTCGAACCTGTGATCTGTCGGTCTTCAGTCCTGCCAGCACAGGGGTTTAACCCACTGTGCCACTGGGGAGTCCCACCAACCCAAATACAAGAGTACAAAACAATATCACATAAAAATTATAAAACAACCACTATCAACACTTAAGAAACAAATAAATGCAATTTAAAATGCAAAACCATCAGTAGTTAAAACTAGCTGCCATAACTTTGAAATAAATCCAAAGTGATGACTAGGTTGAGGTCCTGTCACCTGCCTGCATGTTTAGAAAATAGACCGAAATGCAAAAAAAATTGCTATCGGCACCAGGTAATCCCTTGCCAGAAACGTGCCCTTGTTTACCAAGCAGCTGCCTTGGCCACAACTCCTGTAATGCTAGTAGAAAGTCCTTCTGAAATCAGCTCCTCTTTCCTCCCTCCCTCCCTGTTCTCATTTGCATATAAGATTAAAAAGAAAAATTCTCTCCGAAAGCATGGCTGGAAATCCCTCAGGCTGGCTTTCCCGAGGACTCTGCGGGGATTCCTGCCAGGCCGAGGTGTAAATGCGCTGCCTATTTACCGGAACCGCTATGAAAAAAAGGCTGCAAACTTTCTCTGTTATGGGATTTGGGTTATGCCTCTGAGAACAAAGAGGAAGCAGCCATGTTAGCATTACTGAAGGCAAAACCAATCTTGCATTTAACTGCATGGTGGTAGAGGGCAGTGTAATTCCCTGATTTATTCCGGAGCCTATCTCAAATGCTTTGTGTCTGTTCTCATTTTGCCAACAGGATTCAGAAGGAGCTAGCCGAAATCACCTTGGATCCACCGCCGAACTGCAGGTACGGGAGGCACAGAAGTGCCAAACTTGTGCAGTGTGGCAGCCGTGGATAATGGGGGGCGGGAAGGGAAGGAGGGGGCAGAAGAGAAAAGTTGATATGGTTCAGCATCACAGACGTGCTTGTGGTGTGATGTTTGTAACTAAGTGGATTGCAGATAATGCAGGGATATTCCGCAAGGTGAAGGGAACAAGTGTAGCGAGATGCTGGATTGAATGTACTACGAAGCGTTGATTGTCAGCTACACAGACTGGTGTCACTTTGGCTGGAAATAGTCACCCCTGTTGACAAGTGTTTTCTCCCGGCGGTGTGTTTGTGTAAGCTAAATAGTTATCATGGATGTGACTTATTATGACTGCCGAAGCCTGAGAAACGGTGCAATACCTGTGTCGGGGATGAAAACATGTTTCCTCTTGCTTTCTTTTCATTCCTGTGATGCTGTTGCATTTTTGGCTTTTGAAAGTTGTCTATTTAGAGTTTGTCTTCTGAGTGAATGTGTTGAAACAATTTCCAAACAGTTGTGTGGCTCAGGGAGAGATGGTATCTTCGCCTCCCATTTCTTGCACATTTCTACATGGTTTAACATAGAAGCTTTGCAAATATTGTCCCAGGTTTGCCTCTGGACTTGGAGCATTTTTTTTTGTCATGGTTTGTTCTCTGGATGAGCCCAATTTCCAACAGAGACATTCATTATGTTGTCAAAGGCTGGGTTACTCTGATTTTTCTGGGCTGTATGGCCATGTTCCAAAAGCATTCTCTTCTGACATTTCACCCACATCTATAGTAGGCATCCTCAGGGGTTGTGAAGTCTGTTGGAAAATGTTTTTTAATGTTTATGTATTGTATGTGAATTTGTGTCCCGGCATTGAATGTTTGCTGTGTATATGCTGTGCTCCGCCCTGAGTCCCCTTCGGGGTGAGAAGGGCGGAATATAAATGTTTTAAATAAATAAATAAACTAAGCAAGTGAGGTTTATATATCTGTGGAATAATGTCCAGGGTGGGAGAAATAACTCTTGTCTAATTGAGGCCAGTGTGAATGTTGCAGTTGGCCATCTTGATTAGCTTTGAATGGCCTTGCAGCTTCCAAGCCTGGCTGCTTCCTGCCTGGGGAACAAAATCTGGTATGTTGGAGACTAGACAAGTGAGGTTAATATATCTGTGGAATGTCCAGGGTGGGAGAAATAATTCTTTCCTTGAGGCCAGTATGAATGTTGCAGTTGGTCACCTTGATTAGCATTGAATAGCCTTGCAGCTTCAAAGCCTAGCTGATTGCTGCCTGGGGAAAATCGTTATTTTGTGCTGAAGTTGGGAAATAAATTTATTCTGGGCTGCCTGTGATGCTTCTAACCACTCTGGCTTTTAATCAATTTGCAATATGTTTTGTTTGGTGAGTGTGTTTTTCTGCTGTGGGACTTCATGGCTTTTAGGGTCGTTGTATTGGAAGCATTCTTCATGCTTGGGAATAATGTGTCATTTCAGCCAATTTTGTTATTTAACAGGATTGCTGGGAATAAGAATGTCTCATAGTTGTTTTGTGGCTGGCTTTGCTCTTTTCCCCCACCCCTGCATTTTTCATGTAGTTTTGTACCCAGTGTGACTTTTATCACTTTTCATCACTCCGGAGGAAAAATCAATCAAGGGACTGAGAATGAAAAAATAACCTTCTATCGTGTTGCAGGTTGATCTCCTTATGAGAAGTGTTCTTGTTGTTGCTGTTGCTGCTGATGTTGTGTGAAGTTGACTCTGAATTTAGAGACCCTATCGAGGGCTTTTCTTGGCAAGGTGTCTTTTGAAAGGAGGTTTCCCATTGTCTTCCTCTGAGGCTGAAAAAGTGGGACTGACCCAAGGTCACTCATTGGGTTTCCATAGCCGAGTGAGAATTGAAACACTGATCCAACAATATGAAGTGTTGTGACTGCTTATGAGGCTTGTTCTGTGCTTATTTTGCAATATATTTGGGTCAATGGATGATTTCATTCTGCTGTTGTGTTATTTTTCTGGATCCACTGTCCAGCCGTCTGAAAGGAAGGGATGGGGAATGTGTTGCTGTCATCATGGCTTTTGACTGCAACTTAAATCACCCCTAGCCAGCACACTTAAATATGATGTGGTAAGGTAGCAGAAGAGGTTTTGTGTATGTGTGTGTTAGAAAGGCTAGGATAAGGTGTTGATTTAACTGAAATGGCTGCTTTTGGCTGTTGGGTGTATTTTCGAAATGTGATAAATACATGAGATAATGTACGTGAAGGGTTTGACCACCGAGAAGAAAATGCTCCATAAATTAAGTGCTGGTTATGAGTGATATTGTGTTCCAGGGAAAACAAATTTTTCTCCCTATAGTATTGCTTTGATTGAGTTGCTTAGAAAATCAATTTAAAATGCTTGTTAATTTTATGTAGTGTTGCCCAATGCCCATCCTTCTTTAGCGTGGATTGGGGAACTTTCAAGGATGTATCAAAATGACATGAAATTTTATTTCCTTAACAAAGGAAAGGCAGTAAAAGAAACGAAAGATAGTGCTCATGGAGGAATTAGTGGTAGATTTCCTCTTTTAAGGAGCCCCCGGTGGCGCAGCGGGTCAAACCACTGAGCTGCTGAAATTGCTGACCAAAAGGTCTGCAGTTTGAATCTTGGGGGCAGAGTGAGCACCCACTGTTAGCCCCATCTTCTACCAACCTAGCAATTTGAAAACATGCAAATGTGAGTAGATCAATTGGTGCTGCTTCTGTACTCCATGCAGTCATGCTGGCCACATGACCTTGGAGGCATCTATGGACAATGCCGGCTCTTTGGCTTAGAAATGGAGATGTGCACCACCACCCCCGACTTAATATCAAGGGGAAACCTTTACCTTTATTCCTCTTTTAATAAAACCAAACCAGCCACCCTTGATATGGAGGCATCCCCAGGGGCATATATCTTGTGCCTGTTATTTGTGGTTGTCCCTTTGCCCTGTTGTCTTAAAAGAGGGGGAATCTATCTTCCCTTTTGTGCTGGGGTTTTGTGGATTGCTAAGCCAAAGTGAAGGCTGGAAAAATTACTTTGTTGGACTACAGCTCCCAGAATTACCCAGCCCGTTTGACCCTTGTCTGGGTATATTCTGTATGTTTTGATATGGTCAGAATTGACTAATCAATAAAGAATTGTTGTTGTTGTTGTTGTTGACCCTTGTCTGGGGGATTCTTGGAAATCCAATCCTGTATGGTGGGCTTTTCTACACATCTGAGGCCTTCTCCTATCATGGCCTAGAAATGTGTACACATTTATTTTGGCTACAGTTCTCCATCCCAACAGGATTTCTTTTCCCACTAAGGGTCTTTGCATGAAAGAAATCTGTTACTGTATATAGAACAGATCTGTAAAAGGTAAAGGTTTTCCCTTGACATTAAGTCTAGTCATGTCCAACTCTTGGAGGTGGTGCTCATCTCCATTTCTAAGCCAAAGAGCTGACGTTGTCCATAGACACCTCCTAGGTTATGTGGCCAGCATGACTGCATGAAGTGTTGTTACCTTCCTGCCCGAGTGGTGCCTAGTGATCTACTCACATTTGCATGTTTTTGAACTGCTAGGTTGGCAGAAGCTGGGGCTAACAGTGGGAGCTCACTCCGCTCCCCGAATTTGAACCGCCGACCTTTTATTTATTTAATTTATTTATTTAAAACATTTATATTCTGCCCTTCTCACCCCGAAGGGGACTCAGGGCGGAGCACAGCATATACACGGCGAACATTCAATGCTGGGACATGGATTCACATACAATACATAAACATTAAAAAACATTTATCAAAATATTAAAATAAACAATTTAAAACCATCCTAGTCAGCAACTTCATCAGCTCAATGGTTCAACCCGCTGTGCCACTAAGGGCTATATTGTGAGTGATTTACCAATGGGACCCTGGAAATATAGCTGCATTTGGGGAATTCTTTGGGACTCTGACAGTGGCTCAGATATCTATGGGGATAAAAAGGTGCACAGTTAAAATACGAAGTCGATCGTGAGTGTCTTGTGGCTTGGAAAGAACATGAAATACTTTAATATCTGAATTTTCCTGTTGTCATTACCAGGAGAGGATATTTCCTGTAGCCAAAATAAATGTGTTCCATTTCTAAGAGGTCAGTAAGGATCTTCTGTCATGCTGTTGGCTTGACAAAATGCATTTAGCATTCTGTGTAAAGACTGGAGAGACAAGAAAGAGATGCTGGGTCTCCAGTAAAAAGGTCATGCCTGGTTGGAAGGATCTTTCGGTCACTGAATAGTATTGCTTCTAGTATGTTAGAGCCTGGCATGATTTCTGGTAGAACTCTGAATGCCCCCCCCCCCCCCCGTATTTTGTCTTCAGAAAGTGCTTTCTGAGTGTGTGTGTTTGTGTATGCATGCATTTGTGTATGTAATATATGTATGTGTACAGATAATCTCTTAATGCAGGATATTTATGTGTACATAGCTTTTACAACATTCAGAGCCCCMTCATTTGCTCAGATGGCTATTAGAAATCAGGTTGTGTCTTGTACCTTTGTTGATACAGGAAGTATATAACAACTCCAAGAACGATTCTAAGTCTCGCTTTTTAAACAGTGCATTCTGAGAGTCCAAAGTGCTTCTTAGACGTTATGACATTAATCTTTGTGTCAGCCTCAGAATCCTTATGACAATAAAGGAAGGGCATTATTATCAATGTTGTAGTGCAGTTAGAAGCCAAAGCTTGTGGTTTAAAAGGAGTGTCCAAGGTGGGATGGGAAGCTGAGACATGCTGGCCACGCTGTTGTGTTGCATATTGCGTGTGGTATTTTATTTATATGTGCTCAGATGCAAAACTAGATTTGACTAGCATTTGCATTTGGTGTTAAAATGGTTCGTTTGTTTTTTTGTCTTGTCTTAAAATACTGGATTCAAAGCAGCAAAAGGAAGTGGTTGTATACCCACCACCCTTTAAGGGTGGAAGTAGGTTATATTGGCACTGTTACCTAACAGGCAGATACTCTGAATGCAGAAACGGT